CAAGGAGATAAATAGGCGGACAAAATCGGAAAACTGTAGCTCTCTATCAGAACAGGTTAGCAAACACTTAATTATAACATTAAAGATAAAGGGAAGGAAAACATCAAGAATAACTATAATCTCGTCATTTTAATCACAAACTCACAACACAAAATGGAATAAGCTGTGAGAACAATAACTTAGATGGAGAAGAAGAAAGGGATGAAACTTGCTTAGACTAAGGAGATAAGAGGCTATCAGAAAATGGACTATTTCATCTATGAGATCTTTTACACAAACCTCACAGTAACCACTAAACAAAAAATCAGAACAGAGACACAAATGATAAATAAAGAGAAAACTGAGAAAATCATCACAGAGAACCATCAAACTGAACTGGCAGTCAGAAATATACATGACAAGAAACAAGGGAAATACAGAACAGCTGTAAAAAAACTCATAAAATGGCAGTATTAAGCCCTCATCTATCAATAATCACTCTAAGTGTAAATGGATTGAATTCTCCAGTCAAAAGACACTGAGTGGGTGGATGGATTAAAAACAAGACCCAACAATATGCTGCCTCCAGCAAACATATCTCAGCTCTAAAGACAAACAAAGGCTCAGAGTGAAGGGATGGAAGATGATACTCCAAGCTAATGGCAAACAAAAGAAAGCAGGTGTTGCCATACTTATATGAGACAAAGTAGACTTCAAGATAAAAAAAAAAACGAGAGATAAAGAGGGACAGTATATAATGATAAAAGGGACACTCCAAGAAGAGAAAACTTATAAATACATACACACCTAACACAAGAGCACCAAAGTACATAAAGCAACTATTAACAGACCTAAAGGGAGAAATTAACAGCAACACAATAATAGTAGGGGACCTCAACACCCCACTTATGTCAATGGATAAATCATCCAGACAGAAACTCAACAAGGAAATAGTGGAATTAAATGAAAAACTAGACCAGATGTTAATAGATATACATAGAACACTCCATCCAAAATCAGCAGAATACACATTCTTCTCAAGTGCACATGGAACATTCTCAAAGATAGACCATACGGTGGGAAACAAGGCAAGCCTCAATAAATTTAAGAAGACTGAAATCATATCAAGCATCTTTTCTGACCATAATGCTGTGAAACTAGAAATCAACCTCAAGAACAAAGCTGGGAAAGGGATAAATATGTGGAGACTAAACAACACACTACTGACCAACCAATGGATCAATGAAGAAATTAACAAAGAAATAAAAAAATATCTGGAGACAAATGAAAATGAAAACACACCATACCAACTCATATGGGATGCAGCAAAAGTGGTCCTAAGAGGGAAATTCATAGCAATACAGGCCAACTTTAACAAACAAGAAAAATCTCAAGTAAGTAATCTTAAACTACACCTAACAGAAATAGAAAAAGAATAACAAAGCCCCAAGTCAGAAGGAGAGAAATAATAAAAATTAGAGCAGAAATAAATGAAGTAGAAACCAAAAAAACAATAGAAAAGATCAATGAAACTAAGAGCTGATTCTTTGAGAAGATAAACAAAATTGACAAAGCCTTAGCCTGACTCACTAAGAAAAAAAGGGAGAACGCTCAAATAAATAAAATCAGAAATGAAAGAGGAGAAATCACAAGGGATATGACAGAAATATAAAGGAATATAAGAGAATACTATGAAAAACTATATGCCAACAAATTGGACAATCTAGAAGAAATGGATAAATTCCTAGACTCATACAACCTCCCAAAACTGAATCAAGAAGAGAATCTGAATAGATCAATCACAAGTAAAGAGATTGAACCAGTAATCAAAAACCTCCCACAAAATAAAAGTCCAGGATCAGATGGCTTCTCAGAAGAATTCTACCAAACATTCAAAGAAGATTTAATACCTATCCTTCTCAAGCTATTCCAAAAAAACTGAAGAAGACAGAACACTTCCTAATTCATTCTACGAGGCCAACGTCACCCTCATCCCAAACAAGGACAACATAAAGAAGGAAAATTACAGGCCAATATCGCTGATGAACATATATGCAAAAATCCTCAATAAAATATTGGCAAACAGAATACAGCAATATATTAAAAGGATCATACACCATGATCAAGTGGGATTTATACCAGGGACGCAGGGATGGTTCAACTCTGCAAATCAATCAATGTGATAAGCCACATTAACAAAATGAGGAATAAAAACGACATGATCATCTCAACAGATGAAGAGAAAGCATCTGACATCCATAAACATCCATTTATGATAAAAACTCTCAATAAAATGGGTATATAAGGAAAGTAACCTCAACATAATAAAGGCCATATATGACAAACCCACAGCCAACATCATACTAAATGGGGAAAAACTGAAAGTCATCCCTCTGAGAACAGGAACAAGACAAAGGTGCCCACTCTCACCAATCTTATTCAACGTAGTACAGGAGGTTTTGGCCAGAGCAATTAGGCAAGAAAAAGAAATAAAAGGTATCCAAATTGGCAAGAAAGAAGTGAAACTCTCGCTATTTGCAGATGACATGATTCTATACATAGAAAACTCTAAAGAATCCATGGGAAAACTATTAGCAATAATCAACAACTACAGTGAACTTGTAGTGCACAAAATCAACTTATAAAAATCAGTTGCATTACTATACTCTAATAATGAACTAACAGAAAGAGAAGTCAAGAATACGATCCTATTTACAACTGCAACAAAAAGAATAAAATACCTAGGAATAAATTTAACCAAGGAGGTGAAAGACCTATACAATGAAAACTATAAGACATTACTGAAAGAAATTGATGATGACATAAAGAAATGCAATGATATTCCATGCAAATGGATTGGAAGAACAAACATAGTTAAAATGTCCATACTACCTAAAGCAACCTACAGACTGAATGCAATCCTAATCAGAATCCCCATGACATTCTTCATGGGAGTAGAACAAAGAATCCTAAAATTCATATGTGGCAACAAAAGACTCCGAATTGCTAAAGCTACCCTGAGAAAAAAGAACAAAGCTGGAGGCATCACAATCCCTGGCTTCAACATATACTACAAAGCTATAGTAATCAAAACAACATGGTACTGGTACAAAAACAGACACACAGATCAATGGAACAAAACTGAAAGCCCAGAAGCAAAACCACACATCTACAGACAGCTAATCTTCAACAAAGGAGCTAAGAACATACAATGGAGAAAGAAAAGTCTTTCCAATAAATGGTGTTGGGAATACTGGACAGCCACATGCAAAAGAACGAAAGTAGACCATTATCTTGTGCCATACACAAAAATTAACTCAAAATGGATTAAACACCTGAGGGTAAGATGTGATACCATAAAACTCCTAGAAGAAAACATAGGCAGTACACTCTTTGATGTCAGTCTTAGCAGCATCTTTTCAAATACCTTGTCTACTAAGGCAAGGGAAACCAAATAAAAAATGAACAAATGGGACTACATCAGACTAAAGAGTTTCTGCAAGGCAAAGGAAACCAGGAACAAAACGAAAAGACAACCCACCAACTGGGAGAAAATATTTGCAAATCATATGCCCGACAAGGGGTTAATCTCCAAAATATATAAAGAACTCACAGAACTCAACAACAAAAAAACAAACAACCTGATCAAAAAATGGGCAGAGAATATGAACAGACATTTTTCCAAATAAGATATACAGATGGCCATGAAAAGATGTTCAACATCACTAATCATCAGGGAAATGCAAATCAAAACTACAATGAGATAGCACCTTATACCTGTTAGAATGGCTATAATTAACCAAGACAAAAAATAACAAATGTTGGAGAGGATGTGGAGAAAAGGGAACCCTGTTACACTGCTGGTGGGAATGCAAACTGGTACAGCCACTATGGAAAGCAGTATGGAGATTTCTCTAAAAATTAAAAACAGAAATACCATACGACCCAGCTATCCCGTTACTGGGTATTTATCCAAAGAACTTGAAATCAACAATTCAAAGAGATGTATGCACCCCTATGTTCACTGCAGCATTATTCACAATAGCCAAGATGTGGAAGCAACTCAAGTGCCCATCAACTGACGAATGGATAAAGAAGATGTGGTGTATATATCGATATCTACATACACATACAATGGAGTACTACTCAGCCATAAAAAAGAAAAAGTCGTCTCATTTGCAACAACACGGATGGACCCTGAGGGTATTACGTTAAGCAAAATAAGCCAGAAAGAGAAACACAAACACCACAAGACAAACTTCCCTCATGTGTGGAAGATAAACAAACACATGGACAAAGAGAACAGATTAGTGGTTACTAGAGGGGAAGGGGATTGGGGGGGTGGGCATAACGGGTAAAGGGGCACATACATATGGTGACTGACAAATAATAACGTACAACTGAAATTTCACAATGTTATAAACTACTATGACCTCAATAAAAAAAAAGTATATGTGTTGGCAAGGATGAAGAGTAATTGTGTAATCTTATAAACCAATGTTACCACAATAAACAAAAAATTAAAAAAAAAAGAGTAATTGTGTAACTGGATAAAACCACTTTTGAAAACTATTTGACATTGTCTTTGGATTAAGTTGCACATTTTTCATGTAGATATACACCCTATAGAAAAACTCTTGCAAATAGGCACTAAGAAACTTACGTGAATGTTGAAAATAGCAAGGGTTGGAATACGAAGAAAACTGGAAAGTATCGAAATATCCCCAGAGAAACAGTGTATAGTCACAAAATGGAATAACGTGTGTGTGTATGTATATATATGAAATAAAATGAAGAAACTATGGTTATACATCTCTACATGGAAGAATCACACAAACATAATACTGAGCAAAAGAAGTCACAAAAATATCTGCAGTATAATTCTAGATAGATAAAATCGAAAATAGGTAAAGCACAACTATTTTGCTTAGAGATTCCTAACGTATTAGTAATTACCATTCAGAAGTTATAAGACCACTACAAATGCCACTGAAGTAGAATACATAATATATGTATCTTACCAGCTCTCTTAGGAAATCCTGTTGAGAGAAATCTCAAAGACGTCATAAAGTGTCCATTATCTACTTTCTGACCAATAAATTTTACTGTTACTATTGCATATGGAAGACACTGCCTAGGTTTATCTACTGGCTTTGAAAGAACATTGTATTCATAGAAGTATACCTGAAACATAAAGAAGAAGAAACAGAATATTTTTATGGTGATTCATCTAGCAGACTTGACTATACTCATATTTTTAAAAAAACTATATAACTGCATGATATTATTTATTCACCTGCTTCCATATACCCTCTTCTCCCCACCTTCTACAACCCTTGTGTTTTTGAAGATGTGTGCAATTTTTTTTCCTCACCACTTATTTTTTCCTTGGTAGGCTACCAATATTAGTAGAAGCAGACACAATTTGTTTTTAAATAAAAAAGTATTTTTCCATTAAAAGTTCAATGTTTTGCATATGCTGTGAAGCACTATACTATATTTTATTTGGTAGGAAAATTAGAAAAATAACAATAGCTTAACACATTTTACATGTGGGAGCACATATATACATCTAGATTTATCTTCAATTGTATATATAATTATATATAATATGTATTATATATAATTTAATCTCCTATAGAAGACTGAAGGTCTACTAAGGGTCTCAGCAACATGACAGAAAATCACTGTTTCACAGGTAATGACTAATACATAAGCCTTTTCTCCTGCAAAGTAGAAAGGGTCAACAACATTATTTCAAAATAACCTTGTGTAAAAAAAAAGCTGGCATGTTTTCCAAGTGAGGAATTGATCTATGGAACATCTAAATAAAAGCAGCCACTGTACTTGAACAAAGTTAAATGTAAATTTGGAAACTTTTTTTTACTAACATTCCCAAAAATATTAAAACAGCTTTCATTATTTATTTAAGGTCATATATTGAATGAATTAAAAGACTTTCATTTAATATTTTGGGAAGTTGTTTTAAGTCTTGTATCATACAATGTGAAGCATGTGACCTTCAAGTAGTCGAATGAACCAAAAAGTTAACACACTGCTGAACTGTAGGCTTGTAGCTCAATAGTATCTTTCAGAGAAGGTATATTTCTTGACATATGGCAATCAAAGTTAGGAGAAGGATCCAAAGAAACTTTGTTTTTATCCACTGAAGGCTGAATTTTCTTCACTTTTCCAAACAGAACCTAAAAAAATAAAAAAGGATAAAGAAGATATATAAAAATACACCAAAACACTTAAAACTCTCATACTCAAACAGAAAAGTAAGGCTAACTTTTTTCAAAGGAAGAAATACAAATGAAGAGATAATCCATGTCCCAGATAAATGACTGGGATGGCTTATTGTAATTATGTCTAATTAAATTAAACTCTAAGACCACAGTCCTACTCCTAAATTGATTTAATTATAGTCTAAACCCCTAAATTAAACTCGAAGATTACAGTAATTCCAATAAAAATTTCAGAAAATCTATTTGTAGAAATGAGCTTTAGTCTAAAAATTTACCTGGAAGGCTAAACAAAACAAGAATAGCCCAGAAAATTTTGAAAAAAATTTTTGAAAAAAATTTGGGGTCAAGGATAGAGAAAGACAGGTGAGTTACACTTCCAGATACTAAATACTTCTAAAAAGGATGGTACCTCCACAAGAAAAGGCAGAGAGGGGGGAAAACATCTGAACAAAATAAAAAGCACAGATATGCCCAAGTGTCTACAAAAATAAAGTATAATATTAAAAGTACCATTTGAAATAAGTGAAGAAAAACAGATTATTCAATAAATGGTGCAGAACAACTGAAAAACATTAAATTCCTTTCTTAATCTATAAAACAAAATAAATACCAAACAAGTTAAATATTTAAGTAATGCAAACATTGCAGAAAGAAATATAAGCAAATATTTATCTAATCTCAAAGTGAGAATTCTTTTCTAGGGCCGGCCCCGTGGCTCAGCAGTTAAGTGCGCGCGCTCCGCTGCTGGCGGCCCGGGTTCGGATCCCGGG